AGGAGCCTGCAGCTGAGGCCGCTCAGCCAGAAGCCTTCCCACAGGGCACCAGGACAGCGAGGGCCGAGCGGGGCGGGAAGTCCAGGCCCACACACTAGGCCCAGGTGTCCTGCCGCCCAGGTGAGGGTGTGGTCACCTGCAGCTCCTCCTCCACCCCCTGAGCTTGGTGGTTGCTCAGCTGCAGCACGTGGGACTTGAACCCATTTCGGCCCTGGGAGCTGATGGTCACGTTGAGCCCCCTGTCCTCGGCAGTGTGGGAGGCGATCCAGTAGGCAGACAGCGCGTCCAGGGCGATCACCGTGTCCTGGGGAGGTTGGGCCGGGACTCAGGCGCTTGGTTCCAGGGCCACCCACCCCAGAACCCCAAGGAGCCCCTACCTGGGTGCTGCGGAATCCCCCCTGGAAGCTGCCCTGGTGGGTGAGCCAGGCTGCGACCTGGTCCGCCATCTCTGCCCGGCCCTCCCGGAGCAGCAGGTGCAGCAGGCCGTAGGCTGTGGTCTCAATCCACAGGGCCGGGGCCTGGGGCACGGGGTCTGCCGGGCTGCGAGGAGCCGGCGTGGGCGACACGACGTTGCTCTGAGAATTGATGACCGAGCCCCAGTACAGCTTATCTGGGAGGGAGGGCGACCGGCCGTGAGCGGGAGGCCGGCCGCCGGGCCCCTCAGGTGCCGTCACCCCCTCTGGGCTGTGTCCCGGCTCTTCCCCGTGGGCACACGCAGAGGCCCGAGGCCCGACTCACCGCCTGTCTCCTGGGCCATGGCCATGAGGTTGTTGTGGGCCACGTTCTGCAGGTCCTCGGGGGCCTTGCTCAGTGTCAGTGCGTAGGCCGTGATGGCGGCTGCGTGGGCACCCAGGAGCCCAGCACTTGCTTTCGCCCCCAAAAATGAGTTTGCGTTCGAGATGGAAGTTTCCTAGAAGAACGAGGGAGGAAGGTCTGTGGGCGGACACCTGGGTCCTGAGGAGCAGCAGGGAGAGCCGGCCGGCGCAGGGCAGGCGCGGGCGCCCTTACCACTCTCTGCTTCAGCTGCTCTGCCCTCCCGTCCTGGAAGACGGCCAGCCCGTGATGAAGGGCGATGACCACAAAGGCCGTCAGGGCCACCGTCTCGTCATTGCCTACCAAGCCGCCCTGGTCAGTGCAGGGAGAGAAGCCGTCAGCCAGGAGGGGAGGCGCCAGGAGAGCGCCCACCGGCACCCCTGGGCCGCGCCTCCGGCCGCACCTGCATGCCCCTGTGGATAACCGGGCAGGGGTCCCGGAAGGAACCGTCGGCCTGCTGCTGGGACAGCAGCCACTTGGCCGTCTCCTGCAGCTTTTCTGGTGAATCGTCCACCTGCTCCTGGGCCAAACTCAGTACCTTCAACACAAAGGCTGTGAGCCTAGAGGAGGGAAGTGACAGCTGGGGCTAGGGAACGCCGGCCACTCCCCAGACACCTGGTTACTCACCCTCCCGTTGAACCTGGTCTGCCCCCGGCAGCCCACCAGCTCTCAGAGGCCCAGAGCACGCTCCCAGGCTCACCAGGTGCTGCTGTCCCGATGTAGCCACGCCCCATAGGAGCCGTCCGCTTTCCGGAACTGCTGGATCCGCATGTACCCTGGGGGAGGAGTGGCGGCTGGTATTTGTGCCTGAGGCCATGCTCCCCATTCCCGTTGGGTACCCCCTTCCCCCCACCAGCCGCCTGGGGTGCCCATTGCCCTTAATGGCCTGCCCCACCCCCGCTCGCCCTGCGCCAGAACCTTTCTGGACCAGGTCCACCGCGTGGTCCTTGGTCTCCGGGGGCAGCCTGCTCCATTGCTCCGTCTTGTCCAGGTAGCGGGAAGCAGCCAGGGTCGGAGCCAAGAAGATCATGGTTTGCTCCCCGCAGCCCCGTGGCAGCCTCAGGAGGGAGGCCACGCCTCCTGCTGACAAGGCCCCCCCGGAGCCCAGGGTGTCCAGTGGACTTGAGGCTACAGGGGAAAGAGGGGGCGAAGGATAGCGAGCAGGTCTGGGACCCAGGGTCAGAGGGTCATGGCCCCAAACAGGTTTCACATGCATGCGAGGGTGGCCACTGGGAAGGGACTGGAGGGCACGCCCACCTGTGACCCTGACAAAGCTGCTGTGGTCTCCATCGGGGATAATATTGGGATCAGAGTTGCCAGGAATTTCCAGGGTCCGGCCTCGGTGGTCTGGGGAGATGGGGAAGTTGTCAGTCTGCCCGGTGTCCATCTCCTCCACCTACAACCCTCGGAAGGCACTGCGGCGGCCAGGGCCACTCACCCAGGGGGTTGAGCTCATACACCAGCTCCTCCATGTGGATGGCACCTTCCTTCTGTCTCGGGGGAAACAGCTCTGAGAGGTCACCCAGCGCCTGGCTGCAGCTGCCCCCGCCCCCCAACCCAGTGCAGATTCCCGGACTGGGATTTGAACTTTGGAGGCGGAGTGGGATCAGACTTGTAGAAGGCAAACTGACCAAGGAGTTGGGTTTGGGTGGTGGGCCAGAGGGCCAGCAGAGAGGGTGCTGGGAGTCAGGGGGTAAATCTGGGAGCCTGGGGATCTGGCTTCAGGGGTGCTCCATTCACCTCAATTTTTAGAATCTTAGACACTGCGTCCCCTACAGGAAACTCCATGGACCCTCGAGCCACCACCTTCAGGGATACAGCGGCGGCCGCCGTGGGCACCACAGAGAAGCCAACGGGCCGGGCAGAGTGTGCAGGCACCTGCACCTGCTGGGCCAGCCCTCCGCCCCCAGCCAGGCACAGCCCGTCCACCGGGGCCACGTGGACGCTCAGCTGGGGAGGAGAAGGGGAGGGCCAGTCAGGCGGCTGGGCTCTTCATCCCTCCCCCGCCCGCCCCACCCGCTGTGCACCAGGCTCCCACGGGCCTCACGGTCAGATCGGTGTCCAGGTAGTTGTACAGGACAGGCCGCAGCTCGAGCTGCTCAAAGCGGCGAACGGAGATGGGCAGGCGGAGGTGCAGGTGGAATTCACGGAACACTCGGAGCCGGACTGGTGTGGCCACACACAGGCCTGTGGAGCAAGGTGTGGGGACGGGAGACATCAGAGGCCTGGGGGCATCGCAGCCACTGGGAGGCAGGGTGACCATGTCTGCCCCACTGTCTGCACCCCCTTCCTTGCAGTCAAGGAAGAGGGAGCTGGGTGCAGGGTGGCAGCGGGGAGGGCGGAGCGGCGGGCAGCCCACCTGTCGTTTTGGACAGGCTCACGCCGTGGATCTCCCAGGTGGTCAGAGAGTCAGGGATCGGCAGCTGCGACAACCTGTGGTGGGAAGGTGAGCGGCCGTCAAGGCTGGGCTGGCCCCACCCTGCCCAGACCCAAGGCCGGCCCAGCAGGCGCCCTCACTGGAGGTAGCGGTCCACGGTCTCCACCCTCCAGAGCCAGTTCTCCGGGAAGAAGCTGCGCACTGGAATTTCGTCTTCCTCCATCAGGTCCTCCTCCTGCAGGACCTCCAGGGCTGGGGGCCACACGGCACGGTGAGGAGGGCTCTGCCCGCCCAGGCCCCCTGCCCGTGCCGTGCAGCAGCGCCTGGCCTCTGGGGAAGTGTACTGGCCCACTGCAGGGCCGGGGGTGAGCACGGGACGCACTCCGCCCCACCCGGACCTCCAGGTACCCAGGGCCCACTGGGCACCAGGAGCTCAGGAGGCCGTGCAGAGCCTCCTGCCCACTCACCGCCCACCCAGGGCTTGGCCCTCAGGCCCCGAAGCCCACAGCCTGGCCCCTCAGGAGCAGAGGAGCCAAGAGGCAGACCCCTCCCCCTGACCCCGGGGTGCCCACAACTCACACTTCTCACTAATTGCTTTCTGGAAGTTCACGTTTCTCTTTTTCCGGGTTTTCTGCTCCTTGGGACAACTCAGACCTGGGAGAGGGCAGGGCTGCAGCCAAGCCCAGGTGGGCGGCCTCCCTTGCCCGCGCGCCTCCTCCCTCCTCACCCCTCAGGGCCTCCTCCCTCCTCACCCCTCAGGACCCTCCTACCTCCTCCCTCCTCACCCCTCAGGGCCTCCTCCCTCCTCACCCCTCAGGGCCTCCTCCTCACTTTGCCTCCCACCACCCACCCGCCTCCTCCTCTCTCACTATTTCTGGTCGAAGTCAATCGGTGTCCGTCAGAAAAGGCCAGCCCAGCCGCCTCAAACACCTGCAGGGCGCTGTCCCCGCCCCCAGGACCACACCCGAGGTCGTAGCTGCTCATGACTTCGAAGACCTGGCAAGAAAGGGCAGCGCTGTGGCGGAGACAAGATGGCTGGGGGCAGGGCTGGCCGTGGGCGAGGGCGGGAGGGACGGATGCGAGACACAGACAGCAGGAAATAAGGCCCCGGGCCCCAGCTGGAGGGAGGCTGGGAGGAGTGGGCGGGCAGCTGGGATGAGCCCGAGAGGACGAGGCAGGGCCGGGGAGAGGGTCTTCGCAAACCTTGCCCATGTCCAGGGGCTTGTGGGCCTTGCCGCCCGCAGCGTACAGAGCCATGTCCACAGCCCCCAGGGCCACCAGGGCCGTGGAGTCCGTGTGCAGCTGGAGCTTCAGCATCTCCCCAGGCTGATAGTCCTTGTGCTTGTCCACCCTCAGCTCCAGCTGCACGGGGCGGGGGGCGGGGGGTCAGGTGGAGCGCTGCGTCTCATCTTCTCCTGCCTCCCCCACACCCGATGCGTTACCTTGCCCTCACAGGCCCCAGCCTGGACGTCCACCCGCAGGGAGTTGGCCACTGGGCTGCCCCCGTGGTAGTAGAAGGCCACAAAGTAGAAGGAGGGCGCCAGGCGGTGGTTCACAAACACGGAGACCGAGGTCAGGGCGCCCCTGGGTTCTCGGCCCACAGACACGATCTGTCCCCCGGACAGGACCTGGGGCGAGAGTGGTTCCCTCTTCACTGCACGCCCAGCCTGAAACCACCAGCCCCAGGGCTCCCTCCCGCGGAGCCCTCCCAGCACCCTCCCTCCTGCACACCATGTAGTAGTAATGAGAGAAGCTGGCCCCACGGACGCCCACGGCTCGCAGGTTCAGGCGGAAAGTGTCCCCAACTCGAGGGGGTTGAGAATCCAGCCGTTCCAGGGACAGGAACCCCGAGCTTCCGGCGGGTGGGGCTCTCACAGTGAGCTGGGCTGTGGCTGGATAGGGGGAGCCCGCAGATACCTGGAGAAAGGTGTGGGGTGGGAGCAGCAGGGTCAGTGGCCAGGACCCAGGCACCCGGCTCCTCCCCGTGCCCGGGGGTGGGGTGGGGGGGGGGGGTCCTACCGAGAGCTGCACTTCCGAGGTGGTCTGAGGGACATTGATGGAGATGAGGACTTGGCCGCGCCCATCTGTGTTTCGCTGATCATGTATTTCAGAAGCAGATCCCGGAGAGAACTTGGCAGCAACTTTGACAGGAATGTCAGAGGCGGGGGAGCCTGACATGTCTCGGACCAGCGCCTAGGGGGTGGAGGGGCAGGTCAAAGAGAGAAGAGGGGCCATGGGCCTCCTGCGGGGCACCCTCCGCGCCCTCCCGCCACGCCCCTCCCCTGCAGAAGAAACCTGCAGCAGAAAGGGGGCCCCAGGCACAAGGTGTCGCTTGGTGTGGCGAAGGTCCAAGGAGAAGGGAGATGACACGAAACGCCAGGATGTGAGCTCGGCCTCCTCCAGCTCTCCCCCTGCAAGACAAGGCAGACGGGGGGAGGAGCAGGCCCAGGAGCAGGGCAGGAGAGCCGCGGGCATCTCAAGTGCTTCCCGCCCACCAGGCGGCAAGCTCCTGGGGCACAGGCCGTCTGTCTCCCCCTCGTCTGTCTCCCCCTCATTCGTTTGCTGAGCGACCAGGACCAGCGCAGACAGTGCATAAATGCTGCGAGGGGGATGGGGGAAGAACCGACCAGTGGATGGACGGTGGGGTGGACGGACGAGCGGAAACAGAGGGGCAGGCGCTGCTTCCCAGCAGCCCAGGTGGAGAGGCTCTGGCTCTTTCCTGGCTGTGGGTCCCACGTGAGGGTAAAGGGGGGGAGGGGGACGGTGCTGGAGGACAGAGGTCCGCTCAGAGGTCAGAGGCTAGGCCTGGAGTCACAACCGGGCAAAGCACTCACCTGGAGACTCAATGACGGCCGCCGCCACGTAGAGGCGCAGCCCCGGGAGGTCAGCCGGCTGGACGCCAAGCTTCCCCAGGGCGCCCTGGACCGCAGCCTTCGTGAGGGAGATGTGGCACTGGCCCTCCGCCAGCTGGGCAGAGGAAAAAACGGCGAGGTGACACCGGTCTCCCCCCTCCCCTCCTCCCTCACGGTCACCTCCCACCCCAGCTCACCCTCCTTCCTACCTTGGTCTGATTCTCCAGTCCCCGAAGGAAAGTCTTGTCACCATTCTCATCCAGGAGCCCAAAGCGCACGTACGCCACCCCCTGCACCGGCTTCCCATAGATGTACCTGCGGCCACAGAGGAGGGGGTGAGGGCGTGGCCTGGGCGCAGGGGCGGGGGGGAGGGCGTGGCCTGGGCGCAGGGGCGGGGGGGAGGGCGTGGCCTGGGCGCAGGGGCGGGGGGGAGGGCGTGGCCTGGGCGCAGGGGCGGGGGGGAGGGCGTGGCCTGGGCGCAGGGGCGGGGGGGAGGGCGTGGCCTGGGCGCAGGGGCGGGGGGGAGGGCGTGGCCTGGGCGCAGGGGCGGGGGGGAGGGCGTGGCCTGGGCGCAGGGGCGGGGGGGAGGGCGTGGCCTGGGCGCAGGGGCGGGGGGGAGGGCGTGGCCTGGGCGCAGGGGCGGGGGGGAGGGCGTGGCCTGGGCGCAGGGGCGGGGGGGAGGGCGTGGCCTGGGCGCAGGGGCGGGGGGGAGGGCGTGGCCTGGGCGCAGGGGCGGGGGGGAGGGCGTGGCCTGGGCGCAGGGGCGGGGGGGAGGGCGTGGCCTGGGCGCAGGGGCGGGGGGGAGGGCGTGGCCTGGGCGCAGGGGCGGGGGGGAGGGCGTGGCCTGGGCGCAGGGGCGGGGGGGAGGGCGTGGCCTGGGCGCAGGGGCGGGGGGGAGGGCGTGGCCTGGGCGCAGGGGCGGGGGGGAGGGCGTGGCCTGGGCGCAGGGGCGGGGGGGAGGGCGTGGCCTGGGCGCAGGGGCGGGGGGGAGGGCGTGGCCTGGGCGCAGGGGCGGGGGGGAGGGCGTGGCCTGGGCGCAGGGGCGGGGGGGAGGGCGTGGCCTGGGCGCAGGGGCGGGGGGGAGGGCGTGGCCTGGGCGCAGGGGCGGGGGGGAGGGCGTGGCCTGGGCGCAGGGGCGGGGGGGAGGGCGTGGCCTGGGCGGGGCCGGGAGGGGGCAGTGACGGTTACACTGGAGGGGGAGCGGCAGCGGTACCTGGCCTGGATGTCTAACTGGATGTCACCGAGAACGCCCGCTGCCGTCAGGATGTAGGGCTCCCCAGGGATGATCTTCACCTCAAAGTTGGGAAGGACTGACCCAGGGCAAAGGGGAGGACTAAAGCTCCCTGTGAGCTCGAGTCTGCCTGTTCACTGTCCCAGGGCCTAGACCTGACACATAGCGGGAGCTCCATCACTGCCGGGTGAGCGGGGACCGAGTGGGTGAGTGGCTCTGCACTCTGTTTGTTAGTCCTCACCTGAGGATATTTTCCCATTGATTTTTAGGGAGAGTGGAAGGGAGAGGAAGATACAGTGAGAAACATCGATGTGAGAGAAACACATCGACTGGTTGCCTCCTGCACCGCCCTGACCAGGGCCGGGGCTGGGGAGGAGCCTGCAACCAAGGTACCTGCCCTCGACCAGAATTCAACCCAGGACCCTTTGGTCTACAGGCCAACGCTCAATCCACTGAGCCACACCGGCAGGGCTCTCACCATACTTCTTCACCTCGAACTGGGTGCTGTGGTTGGAGTCCGGGCTGTCCGAGAATCTGGCCGAGATCTTCCAGGTCCCTGGCCTGAGGACAGACAGGGAGGGGCTCAGCCTGCCTGTGCCAGAGGGCCTGGGAGAGCCAGCCACGCTCCCTGGGGGAGGGTGTGGGGTAAACCACAGGCAGGGAGCTCCAGCCTGACGCTGTGTTGGAGAGGGAGCACGGCAACCGGGAACTGGGGCAAGAGCTCACTCTGAGATGTCCGGGATCACAAAGTCATCCTGGAAGATGGATGAGGGAGCGTACACCTGCCTCTTCCGCACAAGGAGGCCCTGAGAGTTCTGCGACGGGAGGAAAAGGGGTCATGGGTGGGAGGTCAGATCAGTAGCCCCAGCTGGTCAGGAAGGTCAGAGGTCAGGGACTCACCTCCACGGTGACTGTGAGGCTGTCTGTGGATGGGCGCATCTTTTGATCCAGAGCAAAGACCCGGTACCGAACTGGAGTGGAGGGTGAGGTGAGCAGCAGTGACGGGCAGGGAGTGAGGGGAGAACAAACATTTGCCAGGCGCCTTCCAGGCGGCACTATCCGGCTATTTCACGTAAGGGGTGGGGGCTAGGGCTGGGGTTAGGGGGCAGTCGCGGGAGAGGCCCTGGGGCTGAGACTCACCCCGCTGGCCAGGGTTATAAATGGGCTGGTCCGTCTGCAGGAAAAGGTGCCCCCGGCGAGAGGAGAAGAGCAGGTTGATGCCCTGAGTGTCCACATCTTTGGACAGAGAGCTCTTCAGCCATGGTGACTGGGCCACCAGCTGGATCTTGGGGCCTCCTCGGAGGCTTCTGAGGCCACAGCTGTCGGCACCGTTGGGGAGTATCTGTCAGGCGAGCAGGAGGGGAAGGGAGGGGTCAGAGACAGAGCAGGAGAAAGCCAGAGGCTGGATGGCCAGGGAAGGAGGCTGCCAGCAGATGACGCCAGAGGCGGCGGGAGCAGGGACAAGC